TGCCTGTAATGCCAGCAGGCTGAGGCAGGCTGAGGCAGAATCGTTGTGAGTTCAAGGCCAGCTTGGACTACATAGTGAGACTGTCTCAAAAAAACAAAAACAAACAAAACTTCTGCTGTTTGAAAGACACAGAGTAAAAAAACAATGCACAAAGTGAGAGACAATACAGTCATACCTTGGTGCTCAACTGTCAAATTTGGTCCTCAACACATTTTGACATGAAAATTTTGTCCAGGTATTCATTAATCATTGTATGGTACTGGACATGCAAACTAGAAACTGGTGTTGATTGCCTCCTGACTCGACCCTTTCCAGCTGAATTGATTTGGTACTGTGCTTGTTTTTTAGTATTCGTTATGCCTCTTAGAACTAATTAAGGACAAGGACCAAGGTCCCACTGTCTGTGCATATATTCACATAAAGGAGCTTTAAAAAAAAAAAAAAAGGAAAGAGAAGATACTGCAACAGATCTGGGTGTGGTGGTGCAAGCCTGTAATCCAAGCACTCAGGAAGCTGAGGCAGGAGGATCATGAGTTCAAGGACAGTCTGAAGAACATAAGGACACACTGTCACAAAAACCAAAAAGAGAAAGAAAGTAGGAAGAGAAGGAAGGTGGGAGGGAAGGCTGAAAGGTTGCAAGTAAAAAGGAACAGGGAAACCATAAATTTAAAAATATTTAAGTGTTCCAGGTGTGGTAGTACACACCTGTGATCCCAGCACCCGGGAGGCTGAGGCAGGAAGATCACTGTGAGTTCAAAGCCAGCCTGTACTACATAGTGAGACCCTGTTTCAAAAAACAAAAACAAAAAAAAATTAAGTAATATATTAATCAGTTGCAACATACAATTTAGACTTCAATTCAAACTCTTCTTAAAGAGATTTATATGTCAATCAGGAAATGTAAACACTAATTCCATATTTGATATTATAATTATTGTTGATTTTGGTAGGAGTGATAGATTATGGGTATGTTTTATTTATTTACTTATTTAAAATCTTTTTGAGACAGGGTTTCAATATGCAGTTCAGGCTACACTTTAACTCACTTTACAGCCCCGGCTGGCCTCAAACTCACAGAGATCCTCTTGCCTCAGCCTCCTGAATGCTGGGATTATAGGCATGGGCCATCATGCCTGGTTTGTGGTATGTTTTAAACAGGGTAATGTTTTTGTAAATTTTTATTTTCCTTTTTTTTGAGATTGTTTACTATGTAATCCAGGCTGGCCTTGAAACTTGGCATCCTCCTGCCTCAGCCTCCCAAGTACTGGGATTACATGCACAGGCCACCCCACCTGCTGCAATACTTGTTTTTTAGAGGTAGCTACTGAAATGTTAACTAGTGAAATTGACTGTCTGCTGTTTACTTCAAAACAGTGTCGGGGACAGTCCGAGGTAGGCGCAGGTACAAAGGAAATAAGCTTGACGGTGAGTTGGTAAGAGAACCAGTGACCAGATGGAGTTTGATAGGCTACTCTCCCTGCTTTTGCACATGTTTGACAATTTGCACACACACACACACAAAAAATGCTTTAAAGCTGTAGGCAAGAATTACCTTTCTCTAATATAAAAATGCAATTAATCTGATTTTTAAAAATGCAATTAAATGCCAAGTGAGGTGGTGCATATTTATCAACCAGGCACGTCTCAAAAGGCTGAGGCAGATTTCAAGCTGGAGGACAGCCTGAGCAACTTTTTTTCTTTTTTGAGGCAGGGTCTCACTGTGCATTTCAGGCTGGCCTTGGACTCACAGTGTAGCCCAGGCTGGCCTAAAACTCAAGGTGATCTTCCTATCTCAGCCTCCGGTGTGCTGAGATTCCTGGGGTGTACCACCGTACCTGGCTCAGCCTTGGCAATTTAGCAAGACCCTATTTCAAAGTAAAATAAAAAGGGCTCAAGGTGTAATTTAATGGTAGCCGTTGCCTAGCATGTTTGAGGTCTTTGGTTCAATTCCCAGCTCTGAAACAAGAAAAAACAAACATGGAAAAAATCCTCTCAATTAAAAAAGAAAGGAGAAAGTACTATCTTGCAACCCTGATGCTAGTGTACCAGAAACCCTCAGGAGTCATTTCCCTTTCTTTTCTACATTTTCTGTGTCTATATATTTATGTACTTATTTGAGGCAAGGTTTCGATATGCAGTTCAGGCTGGCCTTGAACTCACTTTGTAGCCCATGCTGGCCTCGAACTCACAGCAATCTTCCTGCCTCAGCCTCCTCAGTGCTGGGATTACAGGCATGCGCCACTACACCCGGTTAATAATATTCTCATAACATCAATTTACATATAGTAAACTTTAGCTCGGGAGGCTGAAGCAGGAGGATCATTTCAAGTTCTAGATCAGCCTGGGCTACAAAGTGAGCTCAAGGTCAGCCTGAACTGCACAGCACAGACCCCGTCTCAAAAAAAAAAAACTTTAGGAGTAAAAACTCCCTCTGTACATTCTGACCAAGAGCCCATCTATTTTATTCCTCTGTCCTCCAGGATTTTGGTAGGCCTCCCGCCATCGTTTCCAATTTTAGATCACTGTATCTGGATTCCGGGACTAAGAAGATCAAAATCAGCACGCCCTATCCTTCCACACCCCGCAGGGTAATTTCCGACCCACACATCAATGAGCCCACGGACCATGAAGGTGGTGACCTTCCGCCTTTGTGACCCGCCTCCTTTGGAAGCGCCAGGAACTTGCGCGCTCTCTCGCACCAAGAGACTACATCTCCCAGAAAACCTTTGCGCGTTGTGGGCGGGGTTAGTAGCGGAAGACTACATTACCCATTGACCCCCCTGCGGGAGGCAGTCGTTATACCTCGATCGTACAGCATTGGTCCACTTTCTTTCGGAATCGCAGCGATGATTGGTCCAAACGGCCGTCAGTTACCTCGAAGGACAGTGAAATTTTGCCATTACATTGCGTGAAGAGGGCGGGGTGGCAGAGTTTACGCATCTGGGAAGCGCCCGCGGAGTCGGTGAGTGACCTCTACTTACGTTCTCTTCGCAACCTTCTGGGGGACTTGCATCCTCGCTCCCTGGGACGAACCTCCGGGAATGCACACTCGCAGGGATTCACATGGGGTGGGGCTTGTACGTCTTGTGGCACCCAGACCCGAGCGGCATCTTCAGGCACGCCTGAGGCAAAACTCTGCGCACACGCACCCGGACACCTGCACGCACCGTCGCCCGCGCTTCCGGACGTGGGGAGGAACACACGCCCCGGGGCACACTGCGTCCGCGCGGGCCGTCCGCTGAGCACGTGGGCACCCGGCGCTCACCGCGGGGCACCTGTGGCCCCGACCCTGGGGTCTTCCGCGGGAAAGAGGCGGGGACGGTGTTCGCGACCCGTGCAGAGCATAAGGGGAGTTTTAAAAAGGAGACGGCCGGGCTTGGTGGCGCGGCACGCCTGTAATCCCAGCACTTGGGAGGCTGAGGCAGGAGGATCGTTGCGTGTTCGAGACCAGCCTGGGCTACAAAGTGAGCTCAAGGCCAACCTGACTGCATAGCCAGACCCTGTCTCAAAAAGACTGACTGAGCTGGGCGTGGTGGTTCACGCCTGGAGGCCGAGGCAGGAGGACTGCTGTGAGTTCGAGACCAGCCTGAAGTGCATAGCGAAACCCTGTCTCAAAAAGACAAAAATAAATAAATAGATAAATAAAATGATAAATAAATACCAAAAAAGAAAAAAGAAAGAGTAACTAAATAAAATAATAATAATAAATAAAAGAGGGGGTGACGGCGGGGAGCGGGTGAAAGCGAACTCTCAGTGGCATGGGGCCCACCTTCCTCTCGCACCCAGGCTGTGTCATGCATGTAGTCAGATTTCTTTTTTATTTTATATGTTAAATGATTGATACATGATGATTTCGAACTGGCAGGAAAAAGTGTGTGTGTGTGTATAGATATATAAGTATATATAATGATATATACGTGTAATATATAAAAAAATATATAAATGATATAAAAAGAATTTGTACTTTATTGTTTTTTCTGCAAAAAACTCTTTAAGATGTGTATGACTTTTTACCTTTTGTACACTTGCCACATATTTTATCTTGCCTAATCCATTTAGTGGTCTGTGCCAGGCAGGGCAGTCATCATTCCTACTTTTCAGAAGAGAAAACCAAGCCCTTGTTAAGCCCAAGGTGCATTCCAGAGGCAGAACTCAAGCTTTTTGATCCGAGCTCTAAGGATATGTCCTTATGGAGAGCTGCTTATTTATAGAAATTGCACACAACCAGACCGCCCACCGCCCTTCGCCTCTTGTGGAAGTTGTGCAGTTACAGGGTGGCCTTCCAGTTTCTTTCCGGAGCTCAGCGGTAGGCAAGCACCACTGAGCTATAACCCCGGCCCCAACCAACCAGTTTGGTATTTAGAAGAGCCTGGTATCCTCCGCTCCTCTTGAAACAGCTGGGCCACCTGGCACTTGCACCTGCTCCTCCTTCCCTTCTGGACCACAGGAAACTGACACTGCTCAGAGGGACCTGAGTATTCCCTAGTGAACTGAGAGGTTTTAGCCTCTATCTGCCATGCTATACTTAGACTCCTCTAAAGGTACCTTAATCATGGAACAGGGGAGTGGAGGGTGTTATTATATAGGCAGTGACCTCTCTGTTCCTATAAGCACTAAGTTCATCCTAAAGTCCCTTTTAAAACCATCTTATATTTAGCCAGACATGATGGCCCATACTTGTAATCAAAATCAAAAAACCAGGCTGGGTGTGTAGCTCAGTGGAAAAACCCCGCATTCAACCCCCCGTGCTACAATCAATCAATCAACCAACCAGTTTTTGTTTTTGTTTTTTGG